CATATTTCTCCTCATTGGAATCCTGTCCCTAGGTCCAGTGGTTATGCTACCTCAAGCCACAATGTTGAAGCTCCGCAATACCAATCTGATGCTTCAGGCCCATCCCTTGATCTTATTCTGCATCCGTCATCCCCTGGAGCATTTGATGCATCCCCTAATAACTATATGCGTCATGCTTCTTCTTCCAATTATGATAGACATTCTCTCCATGGAATCGAGGGTGGTTTTGTTGATCTCACAATGGGTGGTGGTAGAGGGCCTCACAAGCGCAAAATCCCTGGATTCCCGTCAGTCTGTGAAAGGGGCAGTTCAAGCAGATATGTTGGATCTGGAAGTTCATCTGATCTTCCTCTATCATCCGACTTATGGCAAGAGAAGTCTAATGTAGATCCTCAGCACATGCACTTGGATCATGTTGCCATGCCTCCGAGTTATAGAGGCAATAGCCTTTCAATTAGGGGTGAGGGTTCTATGAGGAATGTGAGAAGCCGTCCAGCACTTGATCTTGAATCCAACCTAGTTAGGAACCATTTACCAAGCAATCCTTCTCACACTTCCTATTCTACAAGCCACACAATTGACTGCTCTAGCTCTGTGGATCTCTCTGGTCAAAGCTCTAATGTTTTATCAAGGGAGTGGGAATGGGGCCATTTGAGAATGTCTCCTATTCATGGAAGGATTCAAGCTTCGGGTAAGTTAGTCAAGCGTTTCTCTGTTATGTTTTAAGTCCTCCATCATTTCTCAGTCTGTTACTGGTGAATTGCAGATCCAGGTGTTTTTAATCACGAGACAAACCACTTTCTCAGTGGTAGCAGCACTACGAATTCTTCTATAGAGGTTGAGGGGCTTCAGCGTGATTTCGTTCTGGGTAGAAGTCCCGTTCTTCCTCAGAGTTTCCATGGCAGCTCAACACAATCTGTAAGGGGTACTCGCACAAACTATTCTCATAGATCTACCCCAGCTTTTAGGGCTTCTTCCGGCAGTGTGCGATTAGGACACGCTGAACCCCAGAAGAGGGGATTCAGATTGTTGCTGGAAGCTATTCCTCCAGGCATCCTCGACCATTATCAGCTATAACATGGCGTAATAATGACAGGATTGGAAGGTCAAGGGTATTTAATGACAGATATCGTCCTCCAGCTGATGATGCAGCTTTCCATGAACGATTTTCGTCTGAGGTATTTAGTGCTTGAAGTAAATATGCTCTTGCATTTTAAATTTTCACGGGCTTAATGTCCTGTAGTGATAGTTTGAAAGTTAATTCTAAACAGTTCCAGCATCTTTTCTGCAAGTAATGGACTGTTTCATGGTACTTTTATCGCTTCATAAGTATCCTTCTTTGTTGATTGATAGCGGCCTGTTCTGTTGACCAGGCCCGACTTCTAATCTAGCCAAAATTTCAAAACGAAGTGTTTCCAATGGGAGATGGGAAAAATCTATTTGATCATCAGCTTGCCAAGTAACTTTCCTGATTTAACGAGTCATTAGCTGAATGTTGTAATTTGTCATCGTTCTGCAGGGCTTTATGATTGTGGACCGCTCAGCCTTTTCCGGATCTAGAAATATGTTCGATCAGCATAGAGACATGAGGCTAGACATAGACAACATGTCTTACGAGGTATGTTCATATTTCCCTTCCCTATTTAGGTGTTAGTTCATTCTTGTTTTGCTCCATAAATGACCCTGGATGATACGCTTGATCAGGAACTACTCGCATTAGGGGAAAGGATTGGGAGTGTTAACACAGGTTTGTCCGTAGACTCGATATCCAAGTGCTTGACGGAAACAATTTACTGCTCTTCAGATCAAATCCAGGATGAGAGCTGTTGTGTGATCTGCCTGGTAAGAACTTTTATCATGTTTGAAACAAAAATATCTTGCGTCATGTGGAACCGGCCACCACTCGGCAACTTACAGCCTGTACTTCGATCTTATAAACTCGAACGGGAAGTTCGAATATCTGACAAAGCTTTGTAATGCACAGGAGGAATACAAGGACATGGATGAAGTCGGCTCGTTAAAGACGTGTGGACATGATTACCATGTTCCCTGTATCAAGAAGTGGTTGTCAATGAAGAATGCATGTCCGATCTGCAAAGGTGCCGCTGTGGCCGAGGATAAGGAGAAATAATGACTTGCATTGTGGTTTACCATTTACCATTATTGTACATATATATACATTTAGACATTTGGCCCAACAAAATCAGACGTTTCATGATAAATAATTATTTTTAGTTATATCAAAAGTTGGCATAGCATATAGTAACACAAAATGAAAGGGGAATCTTAATAGAAACAATAATATTGCTTAGCATTAATAATTAGGGTAAAAAATGCAAATGGTCATTCGACTATGAATGTTGTTTCATTGAGTCTCTCAACTATTAAAAATTATAAAATGATCCTTCGATTATAGAGTGTTATTTTGTTGAGTCCCTCAACTATTGAAAGTTATAAAATGGTCACCCAACTATTCATTATGCTTTAGACTCATTTTTTCATTAAAAAATTTATAGTTATTTGAGTTGAATGTTAACATGATGATTGGGAAATGCTAGCGTTTGAGATTTTGTGATAAATTTTATCATATTACAGTCAAAAATTAACGTTAAGCTTAAAATATCATCGTTTTTAACGGAAAATGCGAGTCTAGAACATAATGAATAATCGAGTGATCATTTTGTAACTTTAACAGTCGAGGGATTCAACAGAGCATCATTCTATAGTCGAAAGACTATTTTAAAACTTTTAATAATCAAGAGACTTAATAAAGTAATACCCTATAATCAGGATCATTTACGTTCTTTGCCCTTATAACCAAATGAAATACTTAATGTATATAGAAACAAAGGAACACAACAGATTTTTTTTATTTTTGAATTGAAAGAGAGGATTAAAATGGTTACAAAACTAGTCTCACATTAGAGGGGCCGTGAATGTTTCGAGAGAGCAAAGGGCATACAGCTAAGGGTGGATCCCTCATATGTTGTCGTTGAAAAAAGCAGTTTTATCAGCCCACTTTGTCATAGCATCAGCCGTTGAATTTACTTCTCTTGGAACCCATTTAAAGGTTAAAACCCAATCATCAAAAAGCATCTTGTAAATAAGAACGGTGAAGAAGATGAACTTCACGGTAAAAAGAAGAAACCCTAAAAAACTCTCTCTCTTTAATTCCCAATTTCAGTAGCTTTTCACTGAGGTCCATGCAAATCAGTTGGAATTTAGAGATTTGGTTTTGTTTCCTTACCTTTTCTTTTTTTCCCGTTGATCTAATGATTTTTCAAATTTGATTTCGATCTTTTAGGGCTTTTGCATGCTGATTCTGTAGCTTAGTTAAAGCTATTATATTACATTTTTATTGCAAGCAAACTTATAAAGTTCCTTCTGTTTTCAACACTATCTTCATATGGGATTTGATCAATCAATTTGGGTTTTAGTGGATTTCTCATACATACATCCACAAGTTTCTGGGTTTCGTTAGCCTTGTGGATCACACCTTAAATCTTTTGGTAAAGAATGATAGATTTACATCTTTCGTAGAAATGTTTGTATGCACGTAGTTTTGTTTTGGGTAAATTACCCCGTTTCTCACTGAACTTTACTTCTCTCCTATTTTACACACCGTACTTTCAATTTTTATACTTTACTCACTGAATATTACAAATTGAATCATTTCGCTCACTCTGCCGTTAACTCTCTAACGGTTTGGTCCCAAATTTCATGAGTTGATTTGCCTCGACATCTTGGGTCCGAATCTGACCTCCATTTTGTTGGAATTTGCTCGAAGTTCACGAATCAGAGATTGAAAGTGAGGAAGCTGAAAAGTTTCAATCGAGATTCATGGATTTTGGGACATTTTCCGGTGAAACAACCACCAAATTCGAACTCAGGGTGTTGAGACAAACCAACTCATAAATTTTGGGATAAAACGGCCGCCATCAACGACGGTCAATAGTGGTCAAAATGATATGGTGGCCGACGGCTGCAACGGGAGGAAATAAGAAGATTCGAAACGACCTCGTTTTGGTGTATATTTGAGTTTTTCAAAAACGATGTTTTTATGCTTGTGTCATGTCATAACACCATTAAAAAGTTAACGGCAGAGTGAGCAAAATGATTCAATTGTAAAGTTCAATGAGCAAAATAGTAAAATTAAAAGTACGGTGAGCAAAATAAGAGAAAGAGCAAAGTTCAGCGGGGAACAGTACAATTTACTCTTATTTTTATAGAATCTTTTGTGTACAAGTATAGATGAGTTGAGCCTGATAATCACATCAAAATTTAAGCAACTTTGAAGTAGTGGGAAAGGTATTTTGATTCATCCCTTTGGCCTAGTGAAAGTAACAGGTTGAAGATAAGTATTGAGTAGCTAGCTAGTTGTGTTACTTACATGCGTAATTAACTCGGTTTCTGTTAATCCGAATGGGAAACGATACTATTTACGAGACCGAATCGAAAGGGTTCGATCCCGGATCGATAGTGCTGCTCTGGTTGTTGGGGGTCTACTGCTGCATTCCTTGTGGGGAACTATGTACTGTACTTGTATGTGCAGAGGAGTCTTCCTCCTTGAAAAAATAAGCTGGTATCGAGGAAGAAGATGAAGAAAGAGGGGCTGAAGCAAGGAGTTTCTGCACCAGGAGAGTAAGGATACCCGAGGCCCGGTTTCCCCGGTTTTCCGTGTTAAAAACGGTATGTTCATGACTTTGTCCCTGTTTGATCCACACAGAGTTGCTTCTTGTTTAACTTTCAACATCTTAATTAGAAGATAAGTAGCGTTTATTTATCTCATTTCTAGTTTATTTATCTCATTTCTAGTTGCATGTACTCAGTTTCCTTTCTGTTTTCGATTTGTTTAAGCTTCAAAGAAATCTGTCAATACTGATACGTATTCGAACAAGGAATAATACGTAAATATACGAAAAAAGTAGAACATTTACTATATTATTATTCATACAAAATACATAAAATCCATATACCAATCAATATGCTATTCAGTTTGATCACAACTAGCAATCATTCTTTAATGGTAGTACCTTAGAGTTTAGACAATGTAGATAACTTTTTTAACATTATTCCACTGTATGATACCACACTGATAAAAACATGGACGATACACCGATAAGCTATTCGAATTCTTTCGCTATATAAAGCAGGACATGGGCGGTAAGCACTCAGGCACCACGGCCCATGGTCTGTTCACCGGGAGGGATCATGACCAGCACAGGCTGAGCATTGTGCCCCGGGTGAGGCAACCTTCGACGAAGCTCGCGGCCTTCCTGGCAAAGAGCACATGCATGGCAGAGAACATGCGTTGCAAAATCACAGGTCGACTCACAGTGTTCACGTTGCACCTCGTCTTCCACACAGCTTCCACAGCATCCACATGACCTGTTAAGTGCCTCACAGGTACCCTGTTTTTTCGCAAAGAAAACCGCGACAAATAAATCTTTGAAAGCCCTCATCTAGTTGATTCTATGCATAATTAAAACACAAATCTAGAGGATCAACAAACTCCAATAGATCATAGGACATTAGAAACATCAAAACAAAATCAAACAAGGTTATACAGACATGTTCCAATCGGAAAGGAACATTGAACGAACAAAAATCCAAAACCACAAATAGAGTTTCCTGTGCTTTAATGAGCTAGTTAAAATTATATCAATAAGCTTTAAGAGAAACGTGATATTTAAGATTAGATTTGCTTGCCTCAAGATTAAACTTGCGACGAATTGCAGTTCGGGTAGGGTATGAAAACCATGGAGCAAGACAATTCCAGCCAAAAAAGGAACTCCCAATCAAGTAAAGACCAGAGTAAGGCAAGCAATGATTTGCAAACGTACCCGGTGCAGATCCAAGTCGTTCAACATTGCTTCCATACAGCACACAAGGGGCCACGCTTCCGAGTAGACCTGGCCGAAATATCACAATTATTCGAATCAAAAGCAAAAATAGGCACTACATAACTGGAAAACTAGATTCACAAACAAATGTGTAGAACATTTTAATTGTTCTTGTTTGAGAAACAAATGATCATTGAAAATATGAACAACGTTAGCTGAAAGAAGCAAATTCAAGCTTCATATGTATCTATGTCCAACATTTATGCTCATTATTTCATAACTATATATCCATATAATCCTTATAAGAATATGAGTTGGACCATCCATTCTAAAAATCGGAATAACAAAGATTGTATAAAATAAAATGCTAACCAACGTAATTGATCATATACTTAGAACAGAATTACGATTATTTTACCCATCCTTTTAATCATCGCAATTCATGAAATCATAAGTTGTCTTTTGATTTTCCTTTTCTTTCTTTCTTGTTACCCTCTAAAATCAAGTTCTCTATAACCAAAGAGAAATCAGAATTACAGCTTTAATTCCAAACCTAGCTATTATAATTTGGCCTCTAAACGCAGGAAAAACCCCAAATTTCTTAAACGATTAAAGATCCCAATCTCAACAAATTCGAAAAACATCAGATCGATCTAGAGAATCCTCGATTAAAAACAAATAAGAAACTTACAAACTTCAATGTCACTGCTGCAAAACTCATCGTTACGGCCAAGACAAGCAAGGAGGGAGGAATCCCACTGGGAGCGGCCCATTGGTTCTCCGACAACACTCCCGCGAACCAAAGGCAGCCCATCGGCGGTCCACCCAAACCCACCAACTTCTGCCACACCGGCGGTCGCCTCCTTTGATTTGTTAACATTTAGTTTCTTCTTCTCATCTTCTTCAACACCGCCTTGTTTGCTCAGAAGAGGGCTCGATTCCTGTAGGTCGTTGTTGATGCTGCCATCATCGGTAATTGCCATTTTCCCTTTTTTGATTCGATGATGGAAGAGAGAGAGAGATCTAAACTCAGACTTAAATATTCGATCTTCAGAAAGCGCGTGAACTTAATTAATTAATTAATCTTTACTTTCCTGTATTAAGATTTAAGACGGAATTTCTCTCTTTCCGTAGGGCCGAAGCTAACTTCTCTTTATAAAGGATAATTTTGGTCCAATACCGAAGACTGGTTAATTATTTAATTTAATATAATATTAAATCTTTTATTGTGATAACTACAGCATTTGTTTAAAGCGACTTGGAATTTGTCGGCCGGACATGACGGTTTTAATGAAATATATTTATTTATCGAAACTTATCATTTTGACGTGATAAAATCTAATAAAAAATTATATTTTATTAAAATTGATTATTTTAACGTTATGAATTTGAATAAAAAATATTATTTGAACGTGACGAAATTATCTTGTATTGTAGCGTTTGACGTAGATTCTAAATTAATTTTAATTTAATATATATTAGAAAAATAATTTGATTTCATTCCATTCTACTAAAAAATCAAATAAACTTTAAGTTAAAATTTTAATAATTAACGAATCTATTATCAAATTCAAGTTGAGTCCCTTAATAATTTATGATATATATATATATATATATATATGGCAAATGAAAAATATATATGTATATTATATATGATTATACAAAATCATTTAGATTAGAATCAATTAATATAATAACATTACAAATATTTACAATTAAATTTAAACAGAAATCCATACATATCGACTCGACACAAATTTCTTAAATTTCACTCAAAAAAAATTTCAAATTAAATATTTAAACTAATAACTAAGTAATATTTATTTTATTTTTTTAAAAAAAAAATAATATCTAAAGAAATTATTTTATCATAATTTTAGGGACATTTTTAAATACCTAATATATATTTCTCTAAGCCTTACTGCTATTCAATTAAAAAGAAAACAGTGGTCATAAACATAGCATCAGCTTCTACCAAATAAATAATTTACCTTCAACGTACGTTAAAATAATTATTTTTATGCGAAATAAATAATTTACCTTCAACGTATGTTAAAATAATTATTTTGCATCTTATTTTATTTTCTTAAAAATATTTTGGTTCTTAAATATTTTATTTTAGAATAATATTTTTAATATTTGATAGAATAGTCATTTTATCTTTATATATATATATATATATATATATTACCTTTCAACATTTTATTTTTGATTTAAATTTTTTATTAAGCTAAGATGATCTCAAAGTAGTATATGTTATATATATTCTCAACCATTAAATAATGAACACTCAACCATTCTACTGTAGCTGTTGGTGCTCGAATCCGTGATCTTTAAAAATAACAATGATTTCTTTAACCACAACGGTAAGTTGATTCATACCCTATTTTATAACCATCGATATCCGATTTATTAATGACACTACAAAGGCAAAATTAACATTCACAACCCAGTTTATTCTATTTATAATATAGATGATTTGAACCAATAACCTTAATTAAAGGATCTAATACCTCATCCGAGTGTACATCTTATTGTTGGTATAAATTATATTAATAATTATGTGTTAATTAATGATTTTTATTTATAAAAAAAAATTAAAAAGTTTTTTTTTGTTTAAAGTAAAACATTAGGGATCAAAATGGTAAAAAAAAAATTGTCATTTTAACGTTGGAGACTATTTTTTATACTATGCCTTGTGTGTATTATCACCCAAGAGCTGTAGAGATTTTCTCTTCCAGCTCCGATGATGATTTTAACATAACCGAAAGAACGGAAAGAAAAAAATTACAGCTTCTTCCTAGAAATCCAAAAAATATTCAGAAGAATAAAGACGAAAATTAAATTTAAATTTAAAATGAATCACGTTAAACCCAACTTTCTCTTCTTCCAAAAACTCATCTCAGGATCGAGTCTTTCACCTGTTCTCGCCGGTTCTGATTTGCATCTTACAGGCCCTGTTTTCATCTCTTTATCCTGTTCGGATTTCTCTACATTTTCCTCTCCAAAACCCTCGAGAAAATCTGGGTTTTCTTCGGTTCTTCTATCCATTCGGTCCCCGGATCCGAGTCTCTGCAAATGGAATCTGTTTTCGAACAGGGTTTATCTTCTTCTTCTAGTTCAAATCCTATAGCTTTGTTTCCTGTTTCTTCGTCATTTTTGTCTCGGTTAGCCAATGGCGATCCCCAGAACCTACAAGCTAGAGAAGAAGATTTGTACGGAGCAGACCGACAACGTGTTAAAATCAATGCAGTTTTGGGTGGTGATGAACTCGAAGAAGATAAGAAAATCTTAGCTTCCTTTTCATCTTCTTCACCCTTATCTTCGTCTTCTACTTCTCGATTGGAATCTTCAACCGCAAATTTCGATGAATCTTCAGTATTTATGGGATTTCCACAACACCCCATTTGTAAAAACGCCCCCCATTTCTTCCAGTAGCATCGAAAAGCAGGCCTGACCTTCACTTTCCTGAGAAAACGACGACAAAACACGGCATTTCTGATCCACTTACAGCAGCGGCCACGGCGACGGCGTCGGGTCGGGTTTGCGGGTTTCGCACTGGTTTTTTTGGAGCGTTTGACGCGAACCTGACCCATGCAAGTAACCTTGGGCGAAGAAGGCTCCTGGGTTTCAATGGCGGCGTTCTTTTTTCTAACGAACATCGGGCTTGTACGTGACTTCCCCCTGCTTTTACTCCCAACATTGCTTCTCAAAAATCTCATCAATGGCGGCGGGTACTTCTCAGCCCGACCCGGACTCGATATGGGTTTCGCCAATACCTTCATCCTCTACCAAAAAAAAACCTTTCCTTCACGAGATGTTGCTTGAATGAAGGTTTTGGGGTGTGGAGATTGAAAAGATTGTCCTTTGGTTATTTGTCTTCCTCTAAAAAGCATGTGGGTTTGCGTGTAAGAATTCTGGGGATGATTCAGCTCAACTGGTAAGAATACTGAACTTACACATAGTGGTCACCTCACCTTCCTCGTTTGTTTTTCGCATTTACATTTTTTTTAAAGGAGATTTTAGCTAGGATAGGTGAATCCATTGAAATATAATAGGGTAAATTCCAAGTATAATATCTCAATTATTATTTTTGTTCTATTTTAGTCATTAAATTATTATTTTTGAAAATCATATCTTACGTAACATTTTAGTTTTATTTTTATCATTCGTTATTAAAAATTAAGTTAAAAAGGTATCAGAGCTCCCTGTAATTTTGAAAAAACCAATATTGTAACACTAATATTATTTTTTTTCTCAACGTGATACTCTAAATAAAAAAATTAATGTGATCTTTTGACTAATATTTTTCGTTATTAATCATTAAAATACTGGCGGATCAGTCCACGGTGCTAATGTGGTGGTCCATAATACTTACATATTAGTCCATATATCATGTTTAAGTTATCAATTTAGTTAATTTACAATATCATTAGTTAATCTACCATATCATCCGTTCAAGTTAATCTGCCACCATAAGCTGTGACGTCAGCACCATGGATTATCACGTCAGCACCGTGAATTATCACATCATCACCGTAACAGTTAACAATGAAAAAATATTAGTCAAACGGTTATATTTGGTTTATTTTCAGAGTCAGATAGACACACATTAAGAGAAAAAATAATACGAGTGTCACATTAATTTTTAAAAAGTGAAGGGACCTCTATTGTATTTTTGTTAAAAATTAATAGATTGACATATCATTTTAAAATAATTTAATAGTAACACTATATTAGTTTAGGATGGCACATTGATCTTATAGTAATGAAAATGTAATATTAGATATGATTTTAAAATAAATAATTAAATGATCAAAATAAAATAAAATTAAAAATTAAAGTACTAAATGTGTAGTCTACCCAATATAATACTGCATACGTTCTTTTTGAGGCTGTAGTGTTGTAGCTTGTAGGGTTGTGTTTGGCTTAGAGTCGTTACTTTGCCGAACAAAAGAACCCGTAAAAAAAAGGGGGTTCATCCGAAAGCGGAGTTAAATAAGGAGCAGTGATAGCCGTTGGATATTGATCCAGAGCAGTAAAAAGTTAGGGTAATTTTTTGAAGAAAAAAATGGGTTTTAAAAAGGATAAGGTGTTGCTTGTCCATCCAGTTCAGTCACACAAAGCATTCATGATTGGAGGGTGATTGATTGATGAGACGGTAATTATAATACAAGTTGAATTTTGCAGTAAATTTTTGTTTTTATTTCCACGAGCAAAAGTGTAGAGAGAGAAGCTGGCAAGGTTAAATACTGTGGATCTGTAATTATGTACACTAAATTGATAAAGGTCATGTCATCTGATTACTTTCAGATCCATATCTCTAACATGGCAGTAGGACACCCTACGTTTCACGGTCAACCTTCTCTACATATAAAAATTTAGTTTAATTAATTTGAATTATTTTTTACAACTCCCAGTTTTATTAAAAATAAAAAATATCTCAATTATGATTAATATTTTTTAGTAATCTAAATTATATCTATTGTGTAATTTTTTGGTTAAGTACTTAATAATATTTTTGGCGTTATTATATATAAAAAACCCCATAAATTACTTTTTAAAAAGTATCTCCAAGATTTGTTAGAAAAATACTTTCTAAAATATTAACGTAAGATTATCTCGTGTCCTATCAAATTAGTTTAATGGACCTCGTGTTTTATGGGGTACAAGACTCGTCAACCTCTTCAAATAAAGTCATTTAGTTTTTAGATAACGTCAATAATAAATGTATGAAACTTGCTTTCCGTAAAAGGCGAGGTCTGATCTAACTTTTTACAAAACGTGAGGTCATCCTACGTGGGTAGTTTAAGTATATTTTTTTAATAAATTTAGTTTGGGGGTATTTTTAAAAAAATATTTTTTGGGATTTTTTATATAATAACGACAATATTTTTCAAATTAATTTTGTCATATATATTTAAAAAATTATATCAACCATTCAAAATGTGATATATGTCACACTTATATATTTTTATTTGAAATAATTAAATTATTTTTAAAAAAATATTGTTTTTACTAAAATATCATAAAATCATAAAATCTCTAATCCTTTCTCTACCGACAATCACTACCGCCATCGGACTCGTCCATCGGTTATCCTCTCATCGTCTTCATAATCTCGTAAATCCCTAAATCTAAATCCACTTTCCTAAATCCCTAAAATTAATCGGTTATATAGGTTCCATTCTTAATTTTTAATCAAGCCTAGAAGCTTCACAAGTATCAGACATTTTTCAAAGTCTTTTTTACTGTGAAACTTGATCTTTACGATAATGTCTTAAGTACGGCCGCCTTAATATACAATTAAAGAAAGATGATATCGAAAATATTATTTTTTAACATTTATGATAAAATGTTATCTAAAACATTATTTTTTCTACCAAAAATGTTAATATTAGGTTCTATAAGAAATTAGTTAACGAAATTAACATTTATGATAAAAAATAATAATGTTTTAAATAAAACTTTACCAGAAATATTAAAAAAAAAATTCAATAACACTTTTACTTAATCGTATATTAAGATTGCGGTATACCAAAATTACCCGATCTTCACACTTCCATCATCTTTCTCTATTAATCTACAAAAAGCAGTCAACTTACCATGAGTAAAAAGTGAGACTTTAAGTGAATCAATCATACCCTTTTATAGATAATCATAAAGTTCTCCATCTTCCTTTGTAAGCTCTTGGAAATCATTGGCCTTTTTAATTCTTGTTTTTATCTGCCCCTTCAATGGCGCCTGATAATGTGAAATGATTAAAGTAAAAAATAAAACTCGGGTAAAAAGAAACAAGTAATGGGGTCATCATCTTCAATGGCACCCACCAAGCAACATAATTTCTCCACAATTCCTGTCTTCCAACATTACCCTTCAAGGCTCTGTAATTTACCAACACCTGAATGGCCATGATTGTAATTTCCTTTCCCAACAAGAGAACAACAAAGTCAAGGTTACAGGGTTTCTGTTATGCACTCGAGAAAAGAAGTACAGCTAAATATAATCAGACACTGTGAATCTGATATTGAAGTGTCCATTTAAGCTTGATTTTTCACAATGGTGGTGACCTACACTATATGAGAGCCATGCAAATACCAGTTGGGGACTTAAAACTCCATATGTCTCTTCGTGCCGGCCAATGATTTCCGTCGTCTCGGATCCGATTTTAGTAGGACAATCCTGGTCCTCCATACATTCTTGATCCCCTCGGGCCTTGGTGTCATCATCTGAGAATTATTGGATTGGTTTCAAGGATGAGACAGTATGTTATTTGGGAGACGACAATAAATCAGCACATGAATGCGATCTGTGTCTTACCTGAGACGGTAGATAGGGAAAAGTTAGTCAGGCGTCGAACACAATCTTTTAGTGCTTGGAGTTCGGTTTCCTTCTTGCAGAGTTTGGATTGAGCTGAATTCAATTCGGATTCTAGCTCCTCGATTTGGTTTTCCTGCTGCTCGATTAACAGATGGCACAGTTTCTGATCTAGTTCAGACGGCAGTACTCCCTGGCAATGGTATGAATCGAACCCCTCCAACGGCTCACGCTGACTTTTGGCTGAAGCTCCGGTCTGCAAAAGCATTTTCTGGTCAGTAGCAAAAAATAATGTGATTCAAGGATGATAAACCAGTAAAGAAGGCAAACATATTTGTATGCCAAGTAATTAAAAGGAAAGGTACTTGAAAAAGTCGACCTCACTCAATTTTTGCAGTTCTAACTCGAGCTCCGCCTCTAGTTGATCCATTTCCATCACCTCTGACTCTGGTTCAGGCTCTTCGGTGAGAACACTACTAGCATATTCGCGGTCATCGATAATGGGGAGACTGCAGTCTTTCATCTCATTGTTGTCTAAGTTCCCCGTACTGAACTTCTCGAGCAGTAACTGCGAATCCTTGCCACTAAACCTCTTTGAGCTTGGAGCAATTTCAGTTGCAGATTTTGAAGCTCGTGGATCACACGCTGATTTTCTTTTACATAGCTTAGTTTTTAACTCCCGGACCACTCTTGCAGTCTCATCCATGGTCGAGTTGAGTTTATCGATCTCAGCCCTCCCAGCCGACATCATGCACATCATACCAAAGCCAAGTCCCCAATGAAATACAGAGCTGTCTAAGGAGTTAAATACAAAGTAAGTCTAGATGCCAAATTCGGAGTGCTAAACATATTTAAAGTAAAATGACACCAACGCAATGCAAACTACCAAAGACAATAGACATAACTAGCACCGGCGCTGGTGTTATGTAACCGGAGATTTTCCGATGATAGTTTGACCGACAACGGAGATAAATGTTTTCCGTTAAACAGAGAATATAGCAGTCCACTGTACACATAAAATGTAAGTGGGAATGCATCGGTATATCTTGACAAACAAATATGGAACTTTACACAATCTTTATTTAAACTACAACTGTTCATAACTTTCTATTACATCAATTATAAAGTAGGGGATTTCTTTACCAAAAGAACAATCTTTTAATCGCATATTCACAATGAAATTTATGTTACAAATGGCAATGGATTTCAAAGAATGCACAAACAAAAATGTCAAATTCTAACTTTTCCAGGCCTAACTGAAGAAACAAAAGATCAAGTCCAGAATTTTCTCAACAAAAGTTAGTGAAAAAAAGTTCATAATATGAACAGGATCATACCTTTAGGAGGGAATGACCCACACTGATAAGCCACATTTTTAGCAGCTCTCTTCTTCAAGCGAACAACAACCTTCTTTCTATTCACCTCCACACCACCTCCGCCGCCGCCGCTTGATCTCTTCTCAACCGTGTTCAAGACAACCTTTTTCTTCAACTTCATGGTTTTAACCCCAGATTTTCCAGCAGAGTCTGGACTGGAAAATCTAAAGATCTCACATTGATTCTGTTTTTCCTCGCAATTGCTCTCGAACCCATACTCCAAAACCCCATTTTGGAGACGAATGTCTTGTTTTCCTTGATCAAGATTGGCGTTCGGGGAATCCGGAGAAATGGGGTCGTTGGGAAAGGGTTTAAAGAGGTGTTTAGCAAGGAATCCGGTGGATCCTGCAACCGCAGCGCCCAAGAGGAGCTGCCACATTGGAGATCAAAGAGCCAATAAAGGGATGATTTTTGGTTATACAGTGAGAAATTGAAGCGTTTCGAGAGAGACGGAGACAGGTAGGTGGTAGTGTTGACTGTTAAATGACAATTTGCGAACTTTCTTATTTTTCGTACACAAATTTCCCGATCTGCTCCATTTCCCCCCCAGTTTTGTACAAATCTACCTACCGATTCTTACGGTTGTTTTTCAATTTCAAAATTTCGGAAATGTAAAACATATTTGGTAAATAATGTCATCTAAATATTTAAGTAAATTGTTATATATTTAATAGATTGCCAAATTTATTACCATCTAAATGGTATTATATTTAATCGCGTTTGATTCACCGAATATAATACTACTATAAAATTATTGTATTACATTGTTTGATTTTTTCAACTCGGATGTAAAATTATAGTGTTTAGTTGAAGAAATATAAGATTATTTGAATATATATTTTACTAAATTATCCTTGTGATATATATTTTTTTAAATTAAACTTTAATATTAAATTATAAATATTTTTAATGAAAATTTATAAAAATATTTTAATCGTCACACTATCTAACTTTTGAAAAAAAAATATGTTTAATATATAATTAATATATTGAACTTATATTTTTAAATAATTTTTATAAGCATCTTATTTATTTATATAAAATAAGAGGAAAAAAAAATAATATTACGATCTCGAGTTGACAAATATATTATTTTTCAACGTATACGATCTAGTTTTTAATAACTTAAAGTTAGAGATTATTTTTAAATAATTATATTTTACAATCATATTATATTTTTACCTCATAAAATTATAAATAATAAATATAATAAATATTAAAAATATAAAATATTTTTAAATACTCAAATTTATTAATATTTTACTAAATTAAACTCTTTGTATATATTTATAATTTTAAGTAAAATAAATAAGAATTGAAAAGGATTATTACAAAAAGAATTCAGTAGACCAAGGGTATCTTTGTCCAGGAATTGTCTTATATCTAAGAATTTAGAAGTAACGACATTCACATCATTTTAACAAAAAAAATTATTTTTGGGAAAGATTATTCCCTGATAATAATATTTTCTATAAATGAAACGTGAGAATGCAATTCTGAAAATGAATATTCCCTTTGATAATCTTATTTTCCATGAACCAAATGTCCCCTTAATGCAATATAAAAGAATTAAGAATATTAATAAACTAATGTTAAAAATAGGCTTAATACCAAAATAAGTGTCCAAACTATATCGCTTTCCTGAATAGGTGCTTAAAGTATTTTTTGACTCATTCAGATGTCTAACGTTACAAACATTGCCCATTTAGGTGATTGGACCTTCAATGGCGTTAAGTTTCCCGTTAACTGACATGTGTCATACTCTAATAATTTTAAAAATCTATTTTAAAAAATAAAAAATATTTTTTCAAAACAACCCCAAATTTTCCTAAAATATCAAAAAAAAAACCCTCAAACCCTTAAATTTTTGTATTCTAATAACATTTACTCCAACCGTCGGTCGTCTCCGACCACTCATTCGTCGACGATCGATCACCCATACATCGCCATCACCCAATGACTGATTGCAACTTTTACTATCATCTAAAAACCCAAAATTCTCATATCCCTAAACTTAAATCTCTAATCTCTAAAATCTTAAATACTCAATCCTTTAAATTCTATCATGATAATCGACTGTTTCGTTGACCGTAGCAACCGACCATTTGGTCAGCCATTTGACCTTTGGTTGTTTGGCCATTGAAGGAGGGAGAAGGGGAGGGAAAGGAAGGGGGAGGGTACGTGGAGAAGACAAGTTTTTTTTTTGGGGTTGGGGGGTTTAATAATATTTTTATTTTTAAAAAAATAAAAATTTAAAATTGTGACATGTTATATAACATTCGTTATGACCCAGACACATAAATGAGTAATGTTTGTAAAGTTAGGTATCTAGATGAGTTAAAAAGTAGTTTAGACATCTATTCGAGAAAAGTGATATAGTTTAGACACTTATTTTGTTATTAAGCAAAGTATATAAAATGCATTGTAATTATAAAATTATATTCAACAATTTTAAAATATCATATACTCGGATAAAATCTATAATTGAAGCTATTATCGTGTTCTAAAGCTTTCAATTAAGCTGGAGCTTCGGCTATTATCTGTAGGGGTGATTATTTGGTAGAGTAGCATAAAAAATTAAATTAATTAAATTGATAAATTTCATTTAACTTTTATTAAATAGTAAAAGGATAAATATTTTGTCAAAAATTGAATTGAAATTAGATAAATATTCGATAATGATTTAAGAGCACGCAGTTCAAATTCGATGATTTTTTCTAAAATAAAATGGGATCTCTTAAAAATCACTTAAATTGAGGTTTAATGTGAAACAACGGAAGTGAAAAAGAGTGTTAAAAAAATATTAAGTTTGTAATTCAAACTCGAATCGAACTTAAAATTCAAATTCAAAATTTAAGTTGACTCGAATAACTCAAATAAATCGAAATTTTTCTTTCGAATCCAATTGGATTTTACCCTCCCCTGATTGTTGGATCAGCGCAAAAGCACCCATGACATTGGTTCATCTCAGATGGCACTCAGCAGCCATTTAATTTACAGTGGCATTTACAGCACCATTCTCTGGCATTTTGGAACATTCTTAACCATGGGCTAGGGCCTTTCTTGTCCACGTTCCAGTCCTTCGGATACCACGGGAACTGCCACATCAGGAAACACCGCTCCGGATGAGGCATCATGGCAAGATGTCTTCCATCGGGTGAACAAATCGCAGCCACTCCTAATGGAGAGCCATTCAGATTGAACGGGTAAGCCTCTGATGGATTTCCGTCGTCGTCGCAATATCGCAATGGAGCTAAATCTGAATGTACTACACGATCCAGAACGGCGTCATCGGGAAAATATGCTCTTCCCTCACCGTGGGCAGCCCATACACCTAATGTACTGCCTTCCATTCCTTTAAACATCATGGCTGGCGAGTCGTTTATGCTCACTCTTGTGAATCGGCATTTGAATCGGCCGGACTCGTGTACAAACCTAGGCTGTGATGGATCCCCACCAGCACCAAGAACACCACCAACTTGCGGCCCCGGGACCCATCCTAACAGCCATCAACTGACATCCATTGCAAACACCGAGACTGAACATATGGGGGCGGTTGTAGAACTCCTGAAACTGACTGAGAAGAGGCCGATTGAATCGAATGGATGCAGCCCAACCCTTGGCGGAATCAAGCACGTCATCATAACTAAAACCTCCGACAAATGCAATCCCACGGAATTCATTCAAAGAAATAACTCCTTTAAGCAAGTCCGACATTGCAACATCCCAAGGCTCAAAACCAGCAGCATAAAAGGCTGCCGATATTTCTCTGTCTCCATTGCTCCCTTCCTCACGGATGATGGCTACTTTTGGTTTTGAAGTTTGCAGTCATGTATTTCTCATCCGTAATGGATGGAGCGAAAGACAATGGCCAAGACGGTTCGTGCCGGAATTTCAAACCTTCTTTCTCCGATTCCACACAAGAACTAAGTCTCTGCAACTTTTCAAGCTGGAAACTCCTATCCTCCCACATATCTCAGAGAAGAGAAGTTTTTGCATTTAAATGAGTAACTCCATCAACCTTTAGCTCTATAATGGGTGAGGCAGTTACTTGTCCGATTATCTCGGCAGTAACATCTACACTGCTGAGCTTCTCCTTTATGATATCCATGTTATTCTTGCTTACCTCGAGAACGAGACCAAGCTCTTCGGCGAAAAGTGAAGGGAAAACACCATTCCCTCGAGAAGCCAAGTCCAAAACAATGCCACAATTTCCAGCAAATGCCATCTCCAAAGCACAAACTAGTAACCCGCCATCGCTGATATCATGACCTGCAGAGATCAGTTCATCTCCAAGAAGTTCCTGCACCCCCTCAAAAACTCTTTTAAGATAAGAAACGTCGTCAAGATCAGGGCAGACATTCCCAATTTGATCGTAAACCTGAGCCAAAGCAGATCCACCCAAACGCCGCTTCCCCTTTGCCAGATCGATATGAAGCAAAATACCATCATTTCCTAGCTTCAAATCTGGTGTAACTGTTTTTGTTATGTCGGGACAAGTGACATAGGCACTAAATACGAGATTCCCCCGGAGCCTTAACAACCTCGCCACCTGCATGGGCGGCCATTGAAAGACTGTCCTTCCCACCATCAATAGCAATACCGAGTTTAATCATTGCATTCGAAAGAGCAATAGCAGCATCATACATGGCTACTCCTTCCCCCTCGAGCTTGGCAGCATACATCCAATTTCCGCTTGCTTTAACAACAGACAGAGGTAACCTTAGCCCAAACAAGATTTGTGAGGGCTTCTCCAACTGCCAGTCTAGCCATCGCTTTTGGACCAAGCAGCCCCTTGATTGCTCACCGATGGCACAAGCACCACCATTTAGGTCGACATAACCTTGAGCAATGACTGCAACGTCGGCAAGAGGTAACTGCAAGGGACCGACAGTTTGCTGCTGTGCTACAAGACCTGTTACGCATCTATCAACCTTTGTTGTCAAGAACCGTTTGGAACATACAGACGGAAGTCGTAATACCATCTTCAATGAATCCATAATTGTGGTTCCGGAAGCAATATCAAGTTGCTCTTGTGCATAAGCCACTCGTTTGAATTCAAAGGATTTTTGAGGCATGTCACCAAGCACTTTCTCGAGCTCAAGATCAACAGCTGGAAGAGAAGGGAGTCCACTAGCACGGCTTTTCTCAATAGCCAAGCTATTGACTAGAACAACACGCCCCTCACTATTAATACTCCCGATAATGGCCATTGAGAGTCTTTCCCTAGCACATGTTGATTCCAGAATAGAGCGGCTCCCAGGCTTCACCAATATCGCATCCTGTTCTTGATACTCAGCACCCCATATCTCCAAGACTGACATAGTGTGGTCACCAACAACAATCGCCCTAATGTCAATTTCAGCCCCCTTCAGGATATATGATTTCCTTCACAACATTGCAATTCCCTCCAGCTCCTTGATCATGAATGCTAATAATTGGATTATCCTCCCCCATCTCTATGCAGGCACTAACCACACGATACAATTTTTGTGCCATTT